GCACACTGGGAGTAGACACAACCTTTTTAATGGAATCACCTCAGTGATGTCCACGATTCATTCAATAATAATATCATAACAGAGCCATAGTATGAAACCATCTCAGTGAGTTTCAAGACCGTATTCACATTTATGTTGGATTGATCAGAGATATCCAAGCATAAATTAGATCATCACCAGAAGTAACACACATACTAAATAGAATCACATGTAAGTTTTGAAACAGAGAAAATCGAGACTAGGTTCAATACATAACAACAGAACTACTCCTAAGACAAGGTTCCCGACTTAAGAGATTCTAACAAGATAAGTACCAGAAACACATAAGAAATAAGTTTTTAAGTTTCAGAAGGTCAGAGAGATAGATAGAGACAAGAGATCAGAACGATTGAGAGGAATCAGAAGCATCAGGTTTTTTCTTTGATGTGCCAGTCCCATCCTGTTTCCTCACACCGCTGAATTTCATCAGGCACGCTCCCCTTCAGTTGTACGCACCACTTCACCATTTTTATTGACAGTAAATCCCTATTATCCCCCTGCTTGGATGCGTACTCATGTAAAAATACAGGTTGATACACGATAGTAAGCGATAAATAAAATGCAAGGGATAGAAGAACCTGTTATACGCGACTGAATAGACTTAGCCATTTGCATCAACAGATTAAAGTCATGAACAATCTCTGGAAGACGCAGTTTAGTGGGCATTCCAAACATGGAGGACGACTTACTATCAAGTTGGAGAAGTCCTGGAGCAACAGAAGTCTGATCATCAGAACAGAGCCATAGTATGAAACCACCTCAGTGAGTTTCAAGACCGTATTCACATTTATGTTGGGTTGATCAGAGATATCCAAACATAAATTAAATCATCACCAGAAGTAACACACATACTAAATAGAATCACATATAAGTTTTGAAACAGAGAAAATCGAGACTAAGTTCAATACATAACAACAGAACTACTCCTAAGATAAGGTTCCAGACTTAAGAGATTCTAACAAGATAAGTACCAGAAACACATAAGAAATAAGTTTTTAAATTTCAGAAGGTCAGAGAGATAGATAGAGACAAGAGATCAGAACGATTGAGAGGAATCAGGAGCATTAGGTTTTGTCTTTGATGTGTCAGTCCCATCCTATTTCCTCACACCGCTGAATTTCATCAAGCATGCTCCCCCTCAGTTGTACGCACCACTTCACCGTTTTTATTGACAGTAAATCC